GACAGCAGAAGAAACGACGCTGGTGGGTGTCGTCATTCAACAAAAGCCGTTCTTGTTTTTATGTTGAGGTGACGAACTATTCCAAAGCGCTGGTCCATTTTCATAAAGAGTTAAGAACTCGATTATGAGCTCGTTCGTCCACTCCATAATCAGCGTAAACGCGCAGGCGCCACCGCAGTTGAAATGAACGATTGTAACCGAAGCAGACGCGCCCGTACAGGCCGCGACAGGCACCGTCGCGCCGCGCCGCACCGCGCCCTTGAACGTACCGACTCCCGATGGATCGGACGGGCGACAACAGGCCACCACAGGCCTCATCGGATGCGATGTTTCTCACGACTTGTTGGTCTGGCCTGGTGCGGTCTGATCTGTGACAAAGCAGGCCGTGAGACCCTAGCTTAATACATACTTGTTACGGCTCATATCCAGCAATGGAATTGAACAGGCTGATTTTGATGATAATGATGATTCAATTTACTACTAACCTAATGAAATAAACAAAGTATTATTGGCAGTCCTTTTAGTGAATTATATCCATTGAGCTACGCATGCGTTTGTATCACTCTATTAACGATAAATTAAGTTAACGTGGAAGGCAATCAGTATGTAAAGTCATTAAGTTGATTTCTTTATTTGGGAACCAATTATTTGGGAAAATCTGTCAAACCCATGACAGTCAGATCAGTCAATTAGTAGCCGGATGTTGAATGCCAAAATGCAATCGAAATATTATGTGAAAAAACTTGCGATAATGAGAATCGAGAAGGCGTAAATCAACGCGAAATGTTATTAAAATTACGAAATCGACAAATAGCAAACATAGCTACGAGAATAATATCTGAAACGACTAATCATTACGAATGAGTCTTATCAATTAAGATTATCATTTAAAAACCCCACAGCTCGTATCTTTCTTTCAGTGTTGACTATGAATTCTGTGAACATTGCGGGCAGGTAGCTATTGTAACTGTATTTGAATAAATTATCGAAGATGTTCAATACATTATAACTTGCATTGGCGGGTTAGAGTTTTAATTTGGAATTCAGCATTATTTAATGTAAGTATTTAGCGATATGTTGGCTGTGCGTTGTTTAGCTCATTATGTGCTGTAAGTCGCGTGCATTGCAAGTGTTTTTATTGAAATTGACCCATTAAAAAAATAGGTTATCGGCTTGTGTTTACTTTCGTTTTAATTGTTTTCGTTATCATTTTGTGAATACATTTTTAACGCTTTGTTAATATCAATCAGAAGGATAAGTAGTAATCACACAAGTTTGTTTATATTATAATTAGCAGTGTAAACAGTAAACTAGTACGAATTGATTTGTGTAATATTGCACTTGAAGTTAATTATTTTAGTAATAATTTGAATTAAGCAAATGTGTATTTAGAATCACCAATTGGACATAACCAAACTGAACTCTTCGTTGCATTGTTTATGCTGGTAAATCGATAACCTTGACATTGAGAAAAGCTTATAGACCAAAGAATAATACATGCGTAAATTGAAAATTTTCACCTTTATTTTGCTTACCTATGTTTGAGTTTAATTTATTGTGTTAGTCATTTAAATATAGCGAATGAGGAAACCGATCACACAGTTTTGCCACTACAAAGTGGCGGTGTAAAATATCCACTATCACTTATCGTTAACATCTTGCTAATAACAAACCAAAAAAAACTGCGGTTGCCAACCTACCCGTCAGGCTTGGCAACCATGGCAAATATTCCTCCCAATGAAGTAATCTATGGGGATGTTCCAGTGGACTTTTGATAAACTGTAACGAAATGAGGAATGATTTAAGGATAATTTTAAATTTAGTTTTTCAGTTTAAAATTTATAGTCGTTCTGACAAAAAAAAAATTAAGAGTTCTTAGTTTTGAAGGAATGTTGTTCGTGTTAGGTACATGTATTTATCAACCAACTTGTCAATAAGTAATGTTGTTGATAGATTTTATATTATTTACTAAAAAATACGCACGTCCGTTCGATCCATTTCTAAAACTATGCGTATAAGTGGGTAAAGAAGAAATAAAGATTGTCTTATTATTAATATATATCTATCTATTACGCTATCAATTTAGTAAAATATATTAATAATATTTCAAGTTAATAGATTGTAGTATCTATATATTGCAGTTTCTTATTGAATAAACTTAAGAGAGATTAACTTATAATAATATATGACGGAAGCGTTTTGGTTGAGACAACGTTTCTATTTGATAAGATAAAAATTGAGATGAGAAATATTAAAACAGATTTACTGCAATATATTATTGCATACGGATTAACTGAGACAAAACGTTCTGACCATTATGGACTTTATATATTTAGTCAAATTGTGATCAGAGTATTTAAGGAAATTAAAGATTTAAATAATCTTTTTGAATTCATTCTCATATTTCATTTAAGGTAAACTTTTATAATATATAAATAACTTAAAGTTTTTGTAACAGATACGATAAAATTCCTAACATGTTGTTAATATTGGCGAATTGTAAAGAATAATTGAATTAAAGTACCTATCTAAAATTAAACAAAGTATACACTGACAGTAAAAATTTGATGTTCGAAGAAGTGAAAGCCAGAAGGCGGCTTGCTTTGGTGTGTAGTATTATTCTAATGTTAAACTCCTTTACCAGTGAAGTCGACAACCCCAAATTATATACAATGATAGGATATGATAGGCCAAGTTCGGTACAAACTAGGTTTGGTTTTAAAATGATTAATTGAAAAAAAAAAACAGTTTTAATCTTTTATTAATCTAAATAAATACCTTCGACGTTTTTTCTTCTGCTTACGCTTCATTGTTTTCTATTTTAAATTATAAGAATTAAATGTCGCACCATCCACTTTGTCGACATCGAACCTCGATGTTATAATCCTAATTATCTAGCTTGATGCTAAATTGTAAGTTTTTGATGAGTGAGGCAGTGAGTGATAAAAAAGACACTTTTCAGAACTTTATGATTCAGAAATCACAACATTATTATTCATAAAATTTCTATTTATAGACGTTAAAGTTATTCTTATTTGACTTGCATACAAGTGTCCAGGTCCATTAGTTTCTGAGTTACGGAAGTTACTATAGGTAGGTAGGCATATAAATATAAAATTTCCATAAATAAATACAGAAGGGAAACAAATCTATAATGTTGATGATAGTGGTGATCATATATTAATAGGTAGTGGATTTTGATGTTAATCTTAAACTAATAAAGTGTTATCGCACGACGTATTCGGGGAAGAACTTTGTTACATAATCAGAAGGCCTTGATTGCGAAAGAATTCTTAAAGTATTTAATTCGATAAGAATGTGACGCGAGAATATGTTTTTTGGCTTACCGTAGAACTCTATCGGGTCTGTCATGATTAACAGATACTATAGAGTTCTTGCCTCTATAAAATGTTCCCTTAGTTTTACAGCCTTGTGAAATATTTAAAGAAACAATGGCAGCAAACTTGACGGTATGACTTTAATCCTTTGGGAGAGAGAAGTGGGATGCGTCAGGTCAAGTGGAAAGAGCTGGCACTAGAGACCCCCTGCCCAGAGATGGGAACATTATTCCATGTGGGGCTGAACTTGCGCCTTATAAAGTTGCAAGCGGTGTGCCGGCATGAAATACTGTCCCGCTCTGCTGAGCACACCAAGCTTGTTAGAGGCCAATTTGGCCTTCTCTTCCAAATGACCACGAAACTGCACGTTACTCGATATGTAGACACTGAGGATTCCGATACTGGCTGAAGCAACAAGGGGAGTGCCTTGAAACTGAGGAGATACGACAAAGGGGTTCTGTTTAGCGGTAAACGCGGAAACTTGTGTCTTGTGGAGATTGAACTGGACTAGATTTAGTAGCCCCCAGTCCGAAACTTTGTTCAAAAAAGTCTCAACTTCAGACATAAGTTTGTACCGGTATTCGGCGACGTTTCCCAGAGAAATATTGGCATGGCAGATTTATCCGGGCCGATACGACTTAGGGACCTTTAAAAAAGAGCCTACTTTTTTTTAAAACGCCGGCAGTGCACTGCAGTTCTTTTTTTATAGGATAGGGTGACAAACGAGAACACAGTCCCCCTGATGGTAAGTAGTTGCTGTAGCCCATAGACATCTACATCTATCCTCGTTTGCGAATCAAAATGCATATGCGTTGTCACCTGTGAGTACTAAGATAGAATACCTCTTTTCCAGTAAAAAGAGTCTCCGGTTCTCTACACTCACCATACGAAACACATCAGTGTTAAGCTGCTATTTTACGCTGGTATTCTGTGAGAGCGTGGTCCTTCCCCGGTCGAGCCGACCCATTCGTGCTACAACTATACTACTAATATAGCTGCAGCATGGCTCTACCACGTTTAAAATCTCATCTCCTGGTATTGCAGTTGTTTATGGGCGGCGGTAGTCACTTACCATCTGGTGAGTCTCATGCTCGTTTGCCCCCTCTGCTATAAAATCATACCATCTTATGTTTGTTTTTGGTACTTATAAAATGTATATCAATCTTATATTCTTTAACTTCTTCATCGGCCTGTAAAACCTTAACTGTGGGTGTGGTCACCCATTTGTGATAAGAGTAATAAGTAGGAAAAGTTTCGCACTGTTTAGTGTTAGTTTACCGCGTCTGGAACGTTCCCAAACCTTGTGATTACTTTTTCATTTAACAATTCATTAAAACATATAAAAGTTTATTGTTGGAATAACACTTCCTCATAGATTGCCATTTAGTGGCATTTTTACAATAGCTAACACGTTTAGCAGGCGGGTTGGTAACCGCAGTTTTTTATTATTCTCATTTGTTATGTTTGAAGATGCTGCTCCCCATCTCCTGTAACAGTTTCCATATGTCGCCTCTTACGACATCCGCGGGTTGTTATGAGCAGTGGATTTTCTTAAGACGTACACGGCAGACCCTAAAATAATATGCTTTAGCCCTTTTAACCAATAATTTCTTGTTTTCAGTTTCTTGAAGAGTTACAGTAAAAAATATTTAGGGACTTAAAATGTATGGAGCAGCTTTCATGTTGGTGCTTATAATCTCCTTATTGAGCATTATTAGTCATGTTGCGGCAATTGAGGATTTTAGTAAGTATTTATACTTTTTTTTTTAGTAGCTCGTGAAAGTCCGGTGCTGGACAGGAGACTTTATGGTAGAATAGATGATTTGCCTTAATTATTTCACTAGATTCTCGTATAGACGACCGTAGTACCAGATACGCCTAGCATCCGTGAGATTGCTGAATGTCGCCGGTCTGATTAAATGTTTATTAACACTTTCACTGTCCGCTTTTCAGACACAATAGTAAGACAATAGCAATGACCTATATGTAGTGCACGGGACAGCGAAAGGGTTAATAATCAGCGGCCCGTTACCTATTCTTGTTACAATACCCCCTCAGCTCAATATATATTTTTTTGAAGTGAAAACTTCTTTAGGTACGTTGCCCACTTTTGGTATGGTGAAAAGGCACCGAACTCGCGTGACCATCACGCTATACGCACAACACACATACACACAAACATATATATATATATATATATATATATATATATATATATATATATATATAAATTCCTTTTTTAAGGCTGAGGGGGTTATTTGCGGGCCATTAATACATGAACAAACATTTTTAAAATTTTTGTCTGTCTGTCTGGGCTAATCTTTTGAATAGCTCAACCGATAGTAATGAAACCTGACGAACAGATACAGATGAATGCCAAGAGTGATCTATGTTAAATTTTACCCGATAATAAAAGATATATTTTTATATATAAAAAAATGCTTTTGTTGATTCATGTAAATCTAATAAACGCTACAATAATAGATCCAGGCAAAGGAAGAAACGCAGCGTCTTTTGAGCTTGAACCCAGTGTTCAAAATTGGCCTTAGCTATACGTATTGACTGGTAATTGGTTTCTAAGACAATCGTCAAATCGTCGAAAAAAAGTCTACATACATGTAATTGACCAGATTCTCTCTTAGTTCTGAGGGGACGTTATAATTATAAATTAATCTATACAAATAAATAAAATTGAAGTAATACGGTACTTATAACTAAAATACAATTTTTTAAATTTTTCTGTCTGTCTGTCTGTTTGTTCAGGCTAATCTCCGAAACGGCTGGACCGATTTTGACGGGGCTTTCACTGGCAGATAGCTTATGTCATAAGGAGTAATTTAGCCTACTTTTATTTTAGAAAAAGAATTAGGGTTCCGCGCAAAAACATAAAAAACCTAACACGCGAGCGAAGTCGCGGGGAACAGCTAGTATTTGAATAAAGCTATAGAGTTGCTCTAAAAATACTTCACGTTTTAAGGACTCTCTAGAAGTCTTAACACTTTTTTTGCCGTAAAAAACTTTCACTTTTTATTTTGGGGCTAATTTAGATTTATTTTTTATTATATATTGAACTGTGAGTTTCTGATATTCTTATGGTGTTAGTAATAATTTTATTTCAAAGAAGACGCACGCCTACAACGTTTTCAACTTCATATATATTAGTTTTTGCCCCGTAAATGGAAAATGACATAATTTCAAAAGGTGACAGCCCATGTTCACTTTTATTATTTAGTAAAAGTTAGGCTAGCTATTGCTACAACCCAACAGTAGATGTCATCATTTTTTAAAGATTATGTCTTAGATTTCTTTTGTGTGGGGATCAAATTGCTTAAGACTTATACATTAATTCTGGTTGCAAAACTGTCTAAATTTAGGACGCAATTTGAAGTGTTTTTTTAATAATTAAAAAGAATAATCTGTAAATAAAATTGTATGATTTACTATTTTCCTCCAGCATATAATATTTTTGAAATTCGATACTCTCGAACAGAGTACCTAAATGTATATTCGTCACATTTAAAGTACTCACGTTTAAATTGTAATGGATTAAAAAAAATGGGGAGAGTCAAAACCTTTTTATTATTTTTGCCAGTTGTGCGCAGCTAGGTGTCATACACAGAACGTGGGTCATCATATTACGTGTCTGCGGGACAGTGTGAAAAGAGTTGCTTAATTTTCCAATGAGTCGTCATTAAATAATGTAGAATATCCACAGTTTCATTTCTGGGATACGAGATAACACTGCCCTCTCATTTAACCTTCGTTACCATAAAGGCTTCTTTAAGGATATTATTTATTCATATTGGGAAAACGTATGCAGTTAGTTAATATCCAGTTTTAATATCCATTACAAAATTCATGTGAAAATTGAGTTTTGCAATTTGCGTTCTTTTGCCGTCGACCTTCTTTAATTTCTTGCTGCATACTTGCATAGGTACCTTATTCTTGTTTGATAAAAATTGCACACGCTTCAGTATGAGTTTTTACGTGCTGGTAAATTGAAGCAATGCTTTGGGGCATGCGTCCTTTTCATACGCAGTCTGAATGAACTGTTTCGAGCAACGTTGTTGCGATGTCCGAGGAAGCTACATTTAAAGGTATTTTACGGTCCTTGTGAGGCTAGGCTAATTGTAATTACAGTATGACTGATTCGTTTATACTTCCTGGTGCATCGAGAAAGAAGAGCTTCCGCATTGAATTTCAATGTGCTGAAAACGTGGTATTTACTTTGATTTCTAAATCCTCAGCGTCTTACTGAGCTGTGTTTTCTCATATTATCGCTTGAAATTTTGCATTTTTGGCACATATTGATATAATTCTATGTTCAATCTTCAATGTTTCAATGATGACCAAATCATTATGCGTGCTCTGTAGCATATGTCTTGTGAGACATCTGAAAAAACAACCTTGGATTTATTACATGTATGATGTCATTATTTTGTAGATATACCTATAAATATAACAAACACACACGCACATACACACACATACACGACAATTTAAATTATTATAGGCCGCGGGTTCGAATCCCGCACGGAACAAGTATTTGTATGGCCTACAAATAATTGTTCCGGGCCTGTATGTTTGTCTTCGTGCAATGTATGTTTGTGAACTGCCTCCACGATACAGGAGAAAATCCTAGTGTGGGGGTAACGTTTTAAAAAAAATAAAAAAATCCAATCAGCGTTCTATAAATTATACCCCGAATGGATTCATACCAACTGTATGAAAATTTTAGTTTTTAGTTTTTGGTTTACTGTCATTTATAATAAATACCATAATTATAAATAATTAATAATAACAATTATAATTAATTATATAACCATAATTCACAAAATTTCTGGATTTGTGTGTCCCTCGATAAAGTGCAAGGGGGTGAAATTAGACCAAAAATTATCGACAAAAAATAAAAAAATACTTTTTATTAACGAATTAAGATTTTTATATCTTATGAAGACTCTACATATGTACAAAAAACAACGAATACATCCAAAGTAGTGGGTCGATTACTTTAAAATTAAAAATGACTATGCCATGTGCTTTCCGGTAAGAATAAAATAAAAATTAGCCACAAAAAGTGACACCATGACTTTAACTTTGCTTTTTGCGAAAAAATCCATTTTTATGCCTGTTTTTTTTTTCAATGATCTTTAATTACCTGAGACTTATACCCCCAATACCAGGATTTTATAATTTATTATAATTCTTAACCATATTGCCTTTCAAATAAAAAAATCAATGTAAAACAATGGTAACATTAGTTGGCAAGGGTAGGAAGGAGCAGACTAGGAAGGGGTTCGAAATACGACTTACAATGGGATTTACTGTGGGGCAGTAAGCTAGCCAGTCGCTCCGATATTCTCGCTGCTGCTACCTGTTACCACTCCTACTATCGTGTGTGTTGAGTTTTTGTTATGTTATTTTAGTTTTTTTTCTGTTATTGTTTTGTTTGTTACGTTTTTGACTCTACTTTGTTTTGAATTGTTGAGATGCCGCGATTAACCGAGTTTTATTTGCGAAAAATCGCTGACATCTATTATTGTTATGGGATGTCACGTGGACGCACGACAGTCACTCGTTCTGCCTACAATCAACGCATTTCGGGAAAGACTTATACCGTCAGGATGAAATTTTCAAGAAGTTCACCGGAAGTTATCCAACATCCGACTTGAATTAGCACAAGATCACCGTGAACAACAACACTGTAATTATTGACAATTCAATAGAAGAGGCAGTTTTAAGCGATTTGTTTGTTGACCCTACAACTAGTATTAGACGCTTGGTTATCAAAGAACATTACCAGCGAGTCCAACACTTGCATGAAAACATAGACCATCGTCCAAAGTGCGTCCTGTCTGCGTGAAGTCGGAGTCAAAGAAAGATTAGAAACGATCCACAATTTAAAAAAAATATTATAAATGGATGAAGCAAAATTCACTCGGAATGGAATCACAAGTTGCAGGAATTTACATGAATGGCATTATGAAAATCCACACTTAATGAGAGCATCTACATTTCAAGTGCATTTCTCAATAAATCTATTATTAATCTAATATATCTTATTTTACCTACTATATTAAATTTCGAACGTTTTTTAACTTTATTAAGAGACGAACTGCCATTTCTGCTCGAAGAAGCTTCGCTGGCCACACGGCGACGCATGTTTTTGAGATGGATGGATGTTCTGCTCATTACGGGCGAAATGTGACATGTTTTTTAATGAAAGCTATGCAAACAGATGGATTGGTGGGAAGGACTAGTGGGCTGGCAAGCGCGTTCACCGTTGTGTGGTTACAACGTAGATATTTTTCTTATTTGAGAGACAATATGGCAGAAAATAATAATAAATCTTAAAATTTCCTGGTATTGGGGGCATAATTCTGAGAAAATTAAAGATCACTGAAACAAAAAATGATAAAAATGGATTTATTTTCACAAAAAGCAAAATTAAAGTAATGGTGCCACTTTTTTGCGAGCTAATTATTATTTTATCCTTACCGCCAAGTACGTGGCATAATATTATATTTTATTTTATAGTAATCGATTCACTACTTTGGATGAAATTGATGTTTTTTGTACATAGAGTCTACATAAAATATAAAAATCTTAATTCGTCAATAAAAAGTAAACTAAATATTATTTTTTTTCCATTTTGTTTGTCGATAATTTGCGGTCTAGTTTCACCCCCTTTCGGGGCAGCATACTGTATATAGCTGCATTTCACTTTCAACCAATACTTTATTACAATTTTACATAATACTTAATTTTATCTACAATATTAAAAAGTATAATAATAAAAAAAAACTAAAACTACAAACTTAATTATCATATAGCCCTACTCCCCGCGGTATCGTGCCAAGAACGCTGGCTGCGTTTCTACGCTGAATGGCTATACTTAGCCTTTGAGCGAGGAAAGAACCAGCCCTCTTATCACCAGCAGCAACGACATACATATACATTTATTACAAAATATAATATAAATACTTTTTTTACTTTGACATACAATCCACAGGTTAATAAAACAGGAAAATTTGGAATAACACGAAGTTCACAGCTTATTTAGTCAATGTGTCGGTAATTATTTGTTGCCAAAATTTTAAAATTCTTTAGCGATAACCTCTACACTGTGCTCTGTTTGACCACAGACTATTAAGTGTTTGATATTAGCAGTATGAACGTGTACATTGTATGTTTTATTTTATATAATTTAATGTATTTGTAATGAATGTTTTGCTTTTGGTACTACTCCGTATAAACTTTAACTATGAAACCTCATACTACACTCCTCCTCCATATGCATAAGAGAAAGGGGTAAAAATCTGTCTCTTCACGTATTAAAATATATACTGCATATTATAACTCATCACTGCATTTAACACGACAATTAAGTGTTTTATCACTACATAAGTGTTTTAATCAATAACATGTAACTTGAGTGACTGCCATTAAGGATAATAATATGTAAAACGAGTAAAAATCTATAATGTTATCACAAATAACTCCGTTATATTTGCTTTACCAAAAATCGATATTCAAACATAAAAATGAGCGGGAACAAAATGACTTACATTTGTCCAACAACGATTTTACTATCAACAGGTCTGTGATAAAGCATAAGCGCTATGAAAAATACGTTTTAATACTAAAAGATATTCGTATAGTCTAATAAATATTTACTTATTTTGTTTAAAATAGATTTATGTAAGGACACGTATTAAGATACAACAGAACTATTGATCCTTTAGAAAGATCTTAGAGATATTTATTGAATTAGATGTACAAGTGAAAGTAAAAATAATTTGTTCAGTTTGTATATTGAATATACACATTTTGTTTATTTATTATGAAAAATTTCAAACAGATTCAACCGGTGATCCAGTTTACGTGCCAATATCCAACAAGAATGGTGATACGGTATACATTACGGAGGAACTGATGAGAAAACTTGATGAAGAATGGGAAACATGGCATTGGACACCCTGGTTAAGAACAAGGACCGAGGTACTTGAGAATGTAGTTAGGGAGGTGGATTGCATTGTAAGTGATTCAGTAGACAGTTTCCCAGATGATATATTTACGGGTGAGTCTTAAAATATATTATGTATCATATCGTATATATATTTAAGCAAATATAATCAAATACTTATAAAATAGGAGTGACAAACGAACACAGTCCACCTGATGGTAAATGAATGCAGTGACCTATAGACATCTACATCTATCCTCGATTAAGAATCAAAATGCTGAATGCGTTGTAACCCCTGATTACTAAGATGAAACGTCTTGTTTCCAGTAAACGGGTTTCCGATTATCTTCACTTAGCATACTAAACAGCAGCATTTAACTGTTATTTTACGCTAGTTTCTATAAGAACGTGGTTCTTCCTCGATCGAGTCGAACAATTCGTGCTACAATAAAACCGGTATTTATTAATCAGTAGATCTTTGAATTTGGTGACATTCTGAGCGTCATCATCCCGCGCCCCAGAAAGTGCCTCGAAGCGCGTTTATTTCCAGTTTTAAAAAGAACCATTCACGATACATCAAAAGTGTGGAGGTACGAAATGATCTTCGATAATTTTTCTATCAACACCTTATAAGTTACAAAAGCGATACCACTTATAGTTTGCTGTGCCACGAAATATGAACATTTTTTATCATTTATCAGTTTTTTACTCCAAGTGTATTAACTTTACCGACACAATATGTATGACTAAAGTCTATATACATATACACATATACATATTGTGTCCTTTAACATGTCCTTTAAAAAGAGGTATAAATTATTTCTTAAATATTTCATTACCCGTTGCACCGCTGTTTTGAACATTTAATTCATTCGGCCATTAAAATACAAATATAAAAATAAATATTTGAATTTTAGCTAAAAGTTGGCAAAAGTATTCGAGTACTTTCATCTATCAACATATGTACATTATAGAGCAAAGTAAAATTTAACCACTCACCCTCCCAATCCCGGGTGAGCGTCACCCCCAGAAAATGTGCCGGAATGTGGTTTTTTCAGTTTTAGATAATACCGTACACAACACATGAAAAGTGTGCAGTACGAGTACAAAATTTTAATGATCCCAGATAAATTTACTATCAATGTCTTATACATATATACATACAAAAGCGATATCACTAATAGTTTACACACAATCTGCCATAAAATATGAACATTTTTTATCATTTATCGATTTTTTGCTCAGTGCAAGTTTAGTTTTCTCAAAAATTTCCCATTTCATACATTGCCATCTAGAATGTTTAAACTAATAGAAGCGATCACTGCTGCTTTCTCTCGGTTCTTATCGGGCGGCTAGCGTATAACCGCCATTCGAGCGCCTAACCATTGTTAAATTATTTAAGTTTTCATTATCTCTCAAACTATGCATCCAAATAACATGGTATAAAGAGCAAAGTTTATCTTCATAAAACTGTCTTCATGATGAAGTAACTTTCGCTCGAAGGATTAATATTCCATGGCTAATAATAACGCTCATAAATCACTTTTAACATTTTTGGCACAAAATACCTTACTGTGGCTTATGTATAAGAAAGAGGCATATGGTATCGCGGACATTTTTTTTAGATGGAGTAAAGATCTGTATTTTTAAAGAACATTGTATTTACGTATAACTAACGCCAGTGTACGTGGATAAATCTTTTCGGGAGCGCTTGTTTCACAAAAATCAATATTTAAGGTCACCTGAGAGGTGTTTCCTAATGCTATATAGTCTATACTATTTGGACTGGTAGTTTCAGTTATTAGCGTGTTACAACCAACAAAAAAAAATACTAAAAACTAGTCCACTTTATAATATTAGTTTTTAATTGTATCTTTTGATTTAACTTAAAAAATTATTTACAGATGATCAACTTCGGAGAGGAGCGTTCCTTTTATACGTACTATTTGGAATTTATGCCTTTACCCTTTTAACGATTGTTTGCAACGATTACTTTATCCCGTGTGTGGAATTTATATGTGAGGATTTAAAGATACCGCAGGTTTGTATTTCCTTCGTTCGTATCAAGATGCTGATCTATAAAATATATTTAATATATTATTACATTTATTTTATAGATTTAAATATATTTTACGTATAAAAAATATACGCTGTTTATAATTTTTTTATGTAAATTATATTTTTTATTTTTAACATATTTATAAATTTAATTTAAAATTGACCACTAAAAAAACTGCAAAATTAATTTTATTCAATGCGTAAATCGTTATAAATTATATTTATTTCTTGGTTAGTGTTTTCAATCGGAAGTTTGAAACAAGTTAGACAACAAGTACATTATGTTAATATTTTTCACAGAATGTTGCGGCAGCTACGTTTATGTCTGTGGCGACGTCATGTCCTGAGTTTTTTGTCAACGTAATTTCAACTTTCCTGACGGAGTCTGATATGGGCGTCGGTACGATTCTTGGTTCAGCCATTTTCAACGCACTTGGCGTGGCCGCCATAGGAGGTCTCGCTGCTATAACTGTAAAAAATTATTATTATTACACTATGTTTTATGAAGAAAAAATTACGTAATCGAGCTACGTGAAATAGATAGTTTAGTGAAGTTATAACATTAATAGTTCTAACTGATAGTAAACTCTGATAAAACATTTTTTGTATCTGCTAAAAAAAAGATATTGCGTATTAAATTAATATGTACATATTTAAAATATAATGTAAATCTAATTTGAAAGTTTTATTTCAGCCAATTTCAATAGACCGTCGTCCAGTAACGAGAGATGTACTCATATATATGTTCAACGTAATAGCCTTGGTAATAATCGTGTGGGATGGTCGAGTTGAGTGGTACGAAGCATTGGTGCTGGGCATCTTGTATATCACCTACTTCGTCATTATGTTTAACAGTGTCAGAATATTCGCACTGTATGATAGGATCATTGAAAAGGTGCAAAAAAATAATGTTGAATGTAAGTTGATCGACTACATAAGAACGCACAATTTTTAAGGCACGTCCAAACGTATATTTTTAGAGATAGACATGATGTGATAATATGAAAAAGGAGTGCATCTGACTCTGTATGAGAGATCTTACAAACCAATAAACGTAAAATTTCAAACATACGGAGTTCAATGGACATATGGTGATAGCTGTCTCACCATGACTTGTAGCCCGTGGACCGTGTTTTCTTTTGGGAAGGCCTATGTTCAGCGGTGGACTTGTTAAGTGCTGTAATGATGATAATGATTATGATATAACAATTGTCATCTTACATAATTCAAATGGTAATGGAGATCACTTCTCTACTTAACTATATACTTAACTACAATCCCACCTGATGGTAAGTGGCGATGTAGCCTAAGATGGTGAAGCGCACTGCCTTAACGAAAGCCTATTCACTCTTGTCTTGAAGACACCCGCATTATAATCGGATGGAAAGACAGATGCTGGCAACTTATTCCACTCCTTTGCTGTACGCATGACGAACGATGTAGCAAACTGTATAGTTCGAATGCGTGGTAAGGCAACAATCAAAGGGTGGAGACTTTTCGAACGTCTGGTTGTTCGATGCTGGAAGGGAGAGGGGGGAATTCAATTATGTAATTCATGCGCGTACTCTCCAAAATGCGTCCTGTAGAAAACCAAAAGGCTGGCTAATTTGCGCCCGTGTTCGAGGCTGGTAAAATCTAAATTATTGTTGACTTGGTTATTGTGAATTTATATTTATTTATGTAAAAGTTTCTATCTGTAATATCGAAACAACTGCCATTTAATGGGTTTGGGTTATTTGCATGCCATTAAGACATGCAGGAAGTCGATGAGTGCAAGTGGCTCAGGACCGTGCTTTGTGGTATTCCATGGGGGAGGCCTATGTTCAGCAGTGGACATGTGAAGCGATGTAATGATTTTTTTTATAGGATATGGTGACAAACGAGCACACAGTCTACCTGATTGTAAGTAGATGCCCATAGACATCTACATCTATCCTCAATAAAGAATCAAAACGCAGATGCGTTGTCACCCGTGAGTACTAAGATGGAATGCCTCTTTTTCAGTAACATGGGTCTCCGGTTCTCTACACTCACCATACGAAACACAGCAGCGTCTAGCTGCTACTTTACACTGGAATTCTGTGAGAGCGTGGTCCTTCCCCGGTCGAGCCGACGCATTCGTGCTACAACTATACTACTAATATAGCTGCAGCATGACTCTACCACGTGTAAAATGATGATGATGATGATGAAGACATGAACAGTTAAATGTTTTGTCTGTCCGTCTGTAAGATTCTAATAAAACGTAATGAACAGATGGAGAGTATTGTTAAGAGTGATTACGGCTATATATCATCTCAAAATTTTGGACTTATTTGGAAAAACAAAAAAATTATCTAGTGTTTGATTATCTAAAATATAAATAATGCCACATTAAAAAACCAAGCCGGGGTTAGTATTTAATATATCAGCTTTCGTCTCCCATCAATATGAGAAAGAGAGAAACAATCCCTGACTCGTGTCGCGTAAGGCGTCATTTCGGCTGAGTAGTATGTGTTAATAAACGAATAGTACTTATAGATCTTGATTTTTAATCCCCTGTTTTTATCAGTAGAATTTTTACGAAATATAAAAATAATGATTATTTATTTTATTACAGATATTGTTACGAATGATAACAAGCGTATAGAAGAAGGTATTGATAACAAAGCGTTCAATAACACTGATATGACAATTAACAACATTCAAAATACGGAAAAACAACCTGTCGTTGAAAAAGGTACACCAAAATTTCGTTAAATGAGATTTGCTTAAATTGAATTTTATATTATTTTAAAAGATATTCCAACTTTAACTGTTATTATAATGATATAATCAAGTGATAGTAAGTCTATATATTATTAAAAAATTATGATCAGAAAGTTGTTTGTATTCGTATATTTAATTTTTACCAATTAATGATTTCTTATATTTAAGTGAAGACTACATATTAAATGAAACTAATTTTTACGGATTTTTGGGATCCTATAATTAATAAAATTAAATACAAACCCAAGCATATCGCTGCCAGACTTCAAGATACTGTAAGCTCATTCTGCGTAGATCGGACCAAAAATTAATATTCAAAAGGTAGTCGGGCTAACTATGACATCGGGACGTCAAACACTGGGCTGTAAAGCACCCGAATCATCGGGAATTAAAAAGTTAAATTTAATGCGATATGATCTGTAAAAATTAGTTTCATTTAATTATCAATTACCGAACTACTAAAAATATTAATCATTGCACGTATTATATTTTAGCCGAAGAATTGGAGAAACCTATGAAAAGTATATGGCGCTTTCCAAAAGAAAATTCTTTAACTTATAGAATTTGGTGGGTGTATACTTGGCCACTCAAGTTTATCCTTGGTTTAACTATTCCTTTGCCTGCGACTTGCAGAAGGTTCTATCCATTGTCTTTTATTATGTGTATCATTTGGATTGGTGTCAACTCGTACTTTGTTTCATGGAGTATGACTGTAATCGGTAAGCAATTTATTGATATCTTTTGATTGGTTTGTCAATACCGTTAATTTCGTGTATACAATAAAATATTATGCTCTATTTTTTATCCTTCTACATTAAAATAATAAAAATGAAACTAATTTGTTTATAAGATATTGAGCACTATATATTTTTAAATATAAGCTCTTTTTTATTTTGGCGACCGATGGACGAAAAATTGATGACGTTGATGATTAAATGAAAATTAAAATGTAAATAAATTTTTTTTATCTAATTCTTACTTTTTTAGGATACACATTCCTTATTCCGGACTCCGTGATGGGAATGACCTTTTTAGCGTTCGGTGGCTGCCTGCCTGAAGCCTGCTCCATATTCATAATGTCTAGACGAGGTATATGTTATGATCTATTTAACTTTTAACGAAAACCTATTGTTTAGCAATAACCTATTTTTAGGGATATAATCTGCGAAATTCTTAGAAGCGAATGATTAAATTAAAATTTTTATTCTGCGTTTTTATTTATTATAATTAAAATTATTAAATTTTGAATGTTTACATAGCAATAGCGAAATACCTTTATTACGGTGTTATTATCACGCCAAATATGCATGTTTTTTATCGATAACAATTTTGTGAGTGCGGCAGATAAATAGATTGATTGACTCAAATATATTATTATGGGCTAATCTATGCGAGATTAGTGATACTGCATGAGCTTTATCAGCAATCTGCAATCTTGCGAACTTGCGCAATCCATTTGATTTCGTACTTTATTTAAATTTAATATTTAAATACGCTAGGCCAATAAAATATATTTTAATAGATTAATAAAAGGGTCGATATATGAAAACACAATATTTATTTGCCAATACGGTTCATAAATATATTACTGAATAAACATAATTATATATCATCTCTATTATATCTTTATAACACTCATTATATTAAGTATGTAATAAAAAGCTTATTTACAATCACTTTAAGCACATAGCAAACATAGCAATAAGCTTAACCTTTTATTTATTAGGTAAATAAACAATAATATGTAAAATTCTTGTCTGATCCATGAAAGTATTTTAGGTGATATAACCAATGCTGAAATTTACAATAATTTTTATTAAAACACGGCTGATCAAGGCAAAATACGATGATTTTTTTGTGTCAAAACCGTAGTCCAAAATGTTTTGTTCACCTTAATTATTAAAGGATACTGATTTTCTAAGAGACTAAGTATTTCAAATTTTACGATCATCAAAAAATTCTTTTTTTTTTTATAAAAATGGTTATAAAATATAAGGTAAGGGCACCTATTTAAGCGGTATTTTTACAAAAACTCGAAAGTAGACTGAAAATTAATTTATTGTAACCATGCAATAAAAATAGCATATATATCTTTACATATATAAATTACGTGTCACGTTGTTTGTTCGCGATGGACTCCTAAACTATTGAACTGATTTCAATAAAATTTTGTACACTGTGTGCATTTTGGTCCAACTTGAGAGATATGATAGTTTTTATCCCGATAAATGACCCTCAAGATTTTTTATTGCGAATTTAAGGATTTTTATAAGAAGGGTCGTCGAAAAGGGCAGAACAACGTCTCGCCAGGCAGCTAGTATAAATATATATATATATATATATATATATATATATATATATATTTATACTAGCTGCTGAAAATATATATATATATATATATATTATATTTTCTACACACATACCTTAATGCGCACACAATACACACACCTTATTCCGATGTACGTGACTCCTACTTTTGAGTATACAAAATGCAAAGGAAAAAGGTTGGAAGCATAATTAATGGTGTTCATTATCCTACAACAAAAATTATAGTAATTTAAAAAAAAAGACATGAATAATCATCCCTGTGGATATGGACCTGACAAATTAATTTTTTTTAATAATAAAACTAATTAATTTACAAGGTGTTGTTAGCCAATTTTGTTTGTCCTTCACAAACCCTACAGCTAAAGCGAATTGTCCAAAATCTTTGCACTATTATGTAGGTATGTGAAAATTTATGGAGACATATGGTTTGATTGCATATTAAGCATCCATCCTCATAATCAATATATACATTTTATCTTTATGAAATAAAATCTCAATTTAAAAAATAGATACTCACGTGCACAAGGTCCAAAATGTATGAAGAGCGGGTTGTGCCAATTTTAGAACCTTAAAGAAATAGTATAAACTGTAATACAAACATTGCTTGCCAATTTTTATATAAATAGTTCTTATAGTTCTCATTTGTTTTCAGGGGAAGGAGGAATAGGAGTTTCGAATGCATTAGGTGCAAATTCGTTAGCCATATTGTTTGCTCTTGGACTTCCCTGGCTCATCAGAACATTAACTCTCGTGGTGCAAGGTGCAGATAGTACAGTTGTCTACATAAATTCCGCCGGTATCGGTTACGTGGTGGGCTCTTTACTCGTGGCCGTTGTCAGCTTGTACATTACACTCTACATCGGAAAGTTTCAACTGAGGAAAAGACTTGGATTGGTGCTGATAGTGCTCTATGCAATATTTATCACTTTTGCAGTTCTTGTTGAGATGGGCATCATTATTGATAAAGGCATTGATTTCTGTTGATTAAATTATTGAAACAGAGGAATTAATTGTGTCATTTAAATTCAGCTAAGTAAGAAAGCTGTATTATTGTGGTAAATGAATACCTTTGTCATTTTTTGATATACCTGTACAAGTGTAATTGTAAGATTTGTGGCTTTTGTATAAGCTATAGTTCTATCATGAAGCATTTTGTTCATAAAATGTGATACATATGTTATTTATTAGTAAAAATTCTATTGTACTATATACTTTTTTCCTATCTGCGTAATCATAATTTATGTAAAAGTATGTTGCTCTTGAAATTAGAAGACCAATGGCTTTATGGAGTACAACTACATATTTTATAGGACTGCTATTTAAAGCGACGACTATTCTGTTATATCTGGTTTAATTTAAAAGTATAAGAAAACAATTAACACCTCAAATATTTCACAAGTCATTAAAGAACAATAAATTCTGTTCTTCGTCATCATCAGCAAGATGTACACGATTGTATGAATATAAATAATTGCTGGAAATAGTTATTACTACTTTAACTGTGAAAAATATTTATTGTATTAGATCTGATTATCAGTAAATTGTAAAAAAAATCATAATACAATGAGATTGAAAATATAACTTGCAACATCTTCTTTTGTAATAAATATCATAAATTTATATGATTTGCGTTGAAACATTTTATTTTTTACATTTAGAACAGTTTGCCTACTGAAAATTGTAGAAAATGTAAATTCATTATTTCTCATCTCATTGTAATGTTATTCATAGTCATATTATTTTCTAATTTTTAATACAAAACATAAAACGATTTTGTAATTGATTTTGTATATCAAAATACAAAATGAAATATTTAGTTATACATTTATTTTGGTTTAGTTATACGGATTTTCTGTAGCTATTTTGACTTAATTTTAGCTTGTGGTTAAATAAATTTAAAATTATTTTTTAGAAATAAAAACACATGGATATATTTTTTATGGTTTGTTTAAATAATAATATAATAAATATTAAAAAGATACACCCTACTGCAGGGCTCATGCCTACTTTATTTCTGAGAGGGTTGCGAAGCAATTAATCTGCCGCGCTGCTGCAGTGCGTGTGGGCGAACTTTTCAATTACTTGAAATATTTTGTTTTGTCCGTCATGCAGGTTTCTTTACTATATTATTTTTCCTTCGCCGCCAAGCATAGTAAACCAGCACATAAAATTGCAGTTAGCAATTTTATTAGCGACATCCCCTAAAATTGCATTGTAAAAAGTTAATATTTCTTACAGAAACAGAAACAGAAACAGAAACTTTTTTATTCAATATAGATTATAAATAATACTTATTGAAAGTCACTCTTTTGTTTGATTACCACTGGTTCGGAAAAAACCTCTGTCCTGGGAAGAACCAGCAAGAAACCCAGCGGGACTTTTTTTAAATAACAGCTTACAATCATGATGTTACACAAATTAACAACACAACAAATTAGAAATAGCTTGGTAGCGATCACCTCATTTCCAGGGGTTATGATCATCCATAAATTCCTTAATATTATAATAACCCTTTTTATACAAACTTAGTTTAATAAAGTTTTTGAACTTTGAACAGGTCAAACTTTGTATATTTTCTGGAATTTTGTTGTAAAAGCGTATACATCGCCCCAAGAATGAATTACTGACTCGATGGAGTCGAGTAACTGGTACTACTAGCTTGTGTCTGTTCCTAGTATTTACAGAATGAATATCACTTATTTTTGTAAAACTACTTTTATTTTTGTGTACGTACATTACATTTTCATAAATGTATTGAGAGGCCAAAGTTAATATATTAATTTCCTTAAATTTTTCTCGCAGCGACTCTTTAGGCTTTAAATCATAAATTGCTCTTATGGCCCTCTTCTGCAAAACAAATATAATTTCAGTGTCAGCTGCGTGTCCCCATAGCAAAATACCATACGACATTATGCTATGGAAGTAGCTGAAGTAAACTAGTCTAGCTGTTTCAACACTGGTTAGACTTCTAATCTTTTTTACAGCATATGCTGCAGAACTAAGTCTGCTTGCTAGTTTTGATATATGGGGGCTCCATTGAAGCTTCGCGTCTAGTGTGATTCCAAGAAAAATGGTGGTATCTACAAGACTCAGTTTCTCCCCATTTAAAATTACATTAGTATTTAATTGTTTGACATTTGGAGTCACGAATTTCATACATTTTGTTTTAGTGCCATTTAAATGCAAATTATTAACATCGAACCAATTTACTAATTTAGATATAGCATTATTTTAACTTACATCAGTAGTTAATGTATACTAACTCCTATAATTTTTTATAATATTATGCATTAACTCCATCGACTGCAGACAATTCAAATAAGAATGATGGAATAATTGGAATTAGTGATAAAATAAAGTAAAACTTCGCCAAAATGAATCAAGTTTAAAAGTAATAAATTTTTTAAAGAATGTTAAACAAAGATTTACTTGAATGTAAATACTCGTTACGATACTGTAAAATAATATATGAATAAAGCATTTCTTTCTTTCTACTTTGAAAAAAGAAAAAAATATTGTTAGGGCGTATATACGTTCCAAGCGCTGATTAGCTCAAAACAGTACTTTTCAAACCTGTTAATACCCATCAACCGCTTATCATAAACAAATGTCAATTATTCACAACTTTAAGAAACTTTATGGTCCAAATAGTTATCAGAGCTTTTTTTAATATTGATACAGCATTTGTGGATGTTATCAAGAAAACAAAACAGAGGTTTCCTTAATTTCACTTCTTGCGTCAATTTCAAAGTTTAAAATATCTAATATATAATTTACGAAACATTAATTAAAGTCAATTTAAAAAACCCCAACAAAAATAGTTACTAGAAAAGATATTTTGATTTATGTGATATACATAGCAAGTTAAATATTCAAACCAAGTAAATTTTTTATGAAAATGCTGTGGATAAAACGATTATTTTCACCCAATTAAGTTACTTAATTTAATAAATAATATAAGCTATTATTGCACTATTATGTTAGAAGAACATATTTTTAACCCCAACCACATGAGTAAAGAAACTGTAAAGAGGCAAAGCTTCTAGCGATCTGTCAAATTTTGTACCTATTTTGGTACGATTGACACAGGAGGATAAAATTAAATAAACAAAACGTTTATCAGCATCTTAATAGATACTTAAGACATAATATTTTATTATAAACTACGTATTATAAATGTTTTACTTTTATAATTATTGTTCTTCAACAATTAGTTGTGCCTTTTAATTAAATTGTAAATTCTAAATTTAATGTAAAGTTTTTTTTTAATAATCTATTGGAAAGCACTCGCATTTCATAAAAATATAAAATTTTGCTCACGTTTTACTCAGACCAATTATTTGAGACGTTTTAATATTTCACTACAAATATTTACAATGTTTCTTTCGTCAAAATATTCGCGAAATTTTTGCTCAAGCAATTCAACAAACGCGATAAAATTGTCAGGAAGTATTATTTAAAAACCCGATTGAAGACTAACTTGTTTTAAATTCTTGTAATGGCAGAAAAAATAATCTTTTCCCATATTTATAGATTGTTCAGATCTATTAACTTACAGTTTTATTTTCTCACATTTGTGGTGTTCGAGACAACATTTTCTCTACAAACATCTTGACACAAAGACTAAAACATTTTTTTCTGGTAAATCAAATATAGATATAAAGATAATAATTTGTTCCTGCTATTAACACAGGGGCAGTAACATAATTAAAAAAATACACCTTCACCGCAACCAGACAATGGTTGCGGTGATGGTGTATTAAAATACGACAATCATCTGGTTTCATAGGTAACATATCGAAATCGTATTCGCAATCAGTATTTTGAGATTTTCCTAAGATATTGGTTATAAACATCTTACTGAAGGCAATACTAACTAGACGACATGTTGGTTGCTGGCAGTTACCACCCGCCTGTCTGACTTATCCAAAGAAATTTTCGAGATGATCTTGATTGAGACGTCTCGTTTAATTTCTTCTGATTTTGATTCTTCATGAAGGTATCTCTTGCCGTAACCTAGATATCATTTAAATCTACGTAAACCATATTTACACTTGTTTATATTTAATTTGATACGAATTATTCTTTAAACAATAAAATTTGACACTTATTATTTTTAACACAACCCTGAGTTTGAGCACTGGCCAGGCCGGTTTAAAGCAGTTTCTCTCTACACGTGACGAGCCGCCAGTGCTCACAGAAACACGCGCCTCAAGCTTGTAGTAGTATACCTATCACAGCGCGGTTATATGAAGCTTTGCCTCTATATGGTACGGTTTCTTTACTCATGTGCCCCAATCCTTTAAAGTTAAAAATAAAATGGCTTTATTTTTTTTTATAAAGATTTTAATATAACTATAAACCATAAAAATTCCGCGTTTGGATCAATTCAAATCAGACAGCCGCTAGGCTTCCCAGAGAGAGGTCACATCGTTCGGCGCTCTGCCCGACATTTGCCACGCATACGAGAATAGTTCACTCTTATAGTGTTATCGGGAATTCGTAATGAACTCTCTTTATAAAGTAAATTATTTTATTATTATTTTTGATGGCCGACAATATTTATTTTAGAGTGAGAATAAATTATAATTCAGGCTTAATGGGAAATAAGACCAAGCTCCTTTTAGCAAATAAAAGAAAACGGAACATTTATTTAAAAGTGATAGATAGTGAGGGCTCTTTCTTTTCTCGCTCAGAGGATAAATATAGCCATTCAGCGAGGAAACGCAGCCAGCATTCTTGGCACGATACCACGGGGAGTAGGATTGTATGATAATTAAGTTATTAGTTTTAGTTTTTTTTTTAGTATAGTTTTTTTAATATTGCATATAAGAAACTATTGTATATTATGTTCTTTAAAAGTTTGGTAAATTTATCTTCTATAACAAAGGTTATGTGGTTATTAGTTTATGATTTAACTTCAGGCAAAGTAAGAAAATCCCAAGTGCTGTTGAGATAAGAACGGAAAAGGTTAAAAATAATGA